GGACCGGCAACGGGATCGCAACCCTCGGTGTTGCCCCCGCTCCTCGCTCAGCCAGTGAGCTGCCAGTCTGCATGTGGGATTCGAACCCTCGGCAGGAGCGCCGCCGCACTTCCCAAGCGGCGCATTGTAGCAGTGCGCCACCAGGCCGGCCCCTCCGTTGTGTTTTTTATTTGGCTGAATAACTTCTTCAGTTCGGCAAGTTCTGCTCCATTTTTTTTCAGGGCATTGATTTCCTTGTACATTTCCTCTTCAGGTCCTGTATAGTTTTCCTCATTTCATCATGATGTCTAGCTGAGCTTTCTTGTATCTCATTCAGTTTCCCTAGAATTATCACTCGAAATTCCTTGTCAGTCATTTCACGGGCTTCTTGTTCTATAGGATCTAGAACTTGAGATTTATTATCATTGGTTGTGTACTTTCTTGATTTTTCGTATTTCTGGTGTCTTTTCTTTGATGTTTATTCATTGTGGCAGGGGTTTCACAGTCCACAGGTTTGACACTATTGCCTGACTAAGATGTTGCTGGGGTTGCCAATTTGGTATGGTTACCTCCGTGACTACTCATTTGGCCACTAGTGCCTTGCATGTGTTGTTACCTCAGGTCTTGGGCCTCTCCAGGGAGCCACCTCTCTGGTCAGCTTGGACTCTCCCGGGCTGCTGGGTAACGGGGTGGTACCACAGGGTGTTGCTCCTGCCACTGCTGCCGGCTCTGCTGCCGCCAGCTCTCCACTGCTGCCGCTGCCGCCGGGTCCACTGCTGCTGTCGAGGGCACCGCTGCCACCGGCTCCTCTGCTACTGCTGCTGCCGCCGGCTCCGCTGCCGCCAGTTCCTCCGCTGATGCCGCTGTTGCTGGCTCCGCTGCCGGCGATTCCTCCACTGCTGCCACTGCCGCTTCCGCAGGCGGGCGCAGAGTCACGCGGTCACCGACTGCAAGTGGCGGCAGCTTCAGCCTTTCTAGTGGCCCGTTCTAGGGTTGGGCTGGGGCAAGTTACTACCTTTTCTTCTTTCCAAGTAGGTACTGTGATTTTTTCCAGTCCTGGGGCCCCTGAGTCTTGAGTTTCCACCGCTGCCGCTGCCTTCAGACCGCCATCTTGCCGCCGGAAGTCAAAGTATATTATTCTTACATTTGTGCCATTCTTTAGTTTCTGAGGCTGGGAGGTCCAAAGTCCATTTGATCGTGGTGACAGTGACCCAGGGGTAGTTTCTGAGGCTCCAAGGTCCATCTGGTGGTGGCGACAGTCACCCAGTGGTGTCACATTGTGAGATGGTGGAAGCAGAGAGAGCAGAGAGGGATAGTTCAGTTAATCAACTATTTTTATTGACTATTAGCTTCCAATGCTAATCCCAGTTAAATGTTAACAAGTTTAATAGATCAGATATATACTCAATGTGTTGAGCAGTGGAGTTGTTGAAGGACTGAAGAAGAAATTAACTTTTTCATAGCTTATTTTTCAATGTATTAGTCCTTTTTGGACCATCATTTCTACTTTTGTGCTTCATAAACACAAAATAGTATGATATAATCAGGTGTGTTCCCACTTTAACAACCAGATCTTGATCATATTAACAGGTACATTAAAGTCTTTTATAAAAATTGACGCATTTTAAATGGGAGTTAAGTCATGAAGTTTAGAGGTACTACATGATAACTCAGTTATAAGGAGGTAGAAAGAAGAAAAGAAGGTGTGAACAAAAGATGTTCAATCACAAAGCTTTTTATGGTGGCCACCAGATGGCATGGTCATTCCATATCAGCTGGTTGCACTGACCAGAGGCTAATTCTTGGGATACATGGAAAATGGGAAGGAAGAGGGAAGGACAGTGCAATCAGCTGTCCTTTGGAAGAGGATGTTCTTAAATTGGTTCTTTGTAAGTTGGCAACAGCTATTTTATATAGTGTTAGGCCAGCAGTTTATATTTGCTTATTTGTATTTCCATTTTTTTTGAGACTGGCTTTGTACTGCTATCAAATAAAATATCCTTCTTGTGATTTTTTTGAGAAAGTTGGCTTGTTGGATTTATGCATCAATGAAGTATTAATAACATTAGAAAACTGAACAGAAAACATTACTATATTGTGAAAAATGAAGAAAACAGGGATTTTCTTAGAGAGTGATGCTACTGAAATTGTGCACTTTAAAAAAGTCATTGGTAGCTAATAAATTACTGATATAAGTAACTTAGATATAACAAAGACATAGCTCACTTCTTTGATTGCTTTGTAATAAAATTTTGTTTTTCTTGTGTGTACATAGTGTACTTAAGGTTTTAAGGAAGTTGCTTTCCATAGTTCACATGCATTCCTAGAACCAGAGAAACTGAACTATAATTGAGTTGTAATGTTGCTATTACATGCCAGCATCTATGGATTGACACTTATCTAGCCATGAAGGCTTAGTGTAGAGAATCTAGATGAAGGAGGAATTCCCAAAGTGGTAAACTATGAAATACTTGGTGTTTTGAGGAAATATTTAATTTGGGTCCAGGCTTCTTGTGGATTGATGGAGAATGTAAACAAATATTCAGGGTATGGCACTACAGGACAGAATGGACAAAGAATAAGTTTTGCAGGCAAGAGCAGTTCAGGGAAGCTGACCTGTGTGTTAAGTACCTAAAACAGAAGAGGAACTCTTTGGGGAATTATTTGGGCAGAGTCCAGGGACACTGAGATTCCTGTGGCCCCAAAAAGTTTTTAAGCCTGAAGCCTGGGAAAGATGTGGGAGCTAGACAAGAAAAGTATCTCTTTGCTTTTCCAAGTACCAAGGGAACGGAAAGAAATAGCTTTGTTGTGACCTCGGGTTGGAATATAGGAAGTCTAGCAAAAACTCAGGGGACTGTGTTTCTAGAGAAGAATCCTTTCCTCTAGTTGTGGGCTTTAGAAAATATTAAAATGAGAATTCAACTGGTGTTGTCAGTTATAACATGACAGAATAGGTAACATTTGATTATCAGAACTTTGGGTTGGCATTTTATTTATTT